GGAGCTAGCTGGTGGTGGAGCTAGCTGGTGGTGGAGCTAGCTGGTGGTGGAGCTAGCTGGTGGTGGAGCTAGCTGGTGGTGGAGCTAGCTGGTGGAGCGTGGAGGGCGGGAGTGGTGGGTGTTCAGAGGAGGTGGAGGAAGCTCTGAGAAGTCACTCAGAGTGGCGTTCCGGGTACAAGCTCCGGGTTGGGGTTGAGGGAGGCGTTTAGAAGGTGATGCTCTGTGCGCAGCCCATGCCCCTGGGCTAAAGAAGCCGAGTAAAAAACAAGGAGGATGGTTCGCAGCTCCAGATAGTCTGGGGCCTTTTCGGAAGATGTGTGACCCCTTGTTTATCGATGCAGTTAGACTAGCAGGGAGATACTGAGGGTTGCTAATCCCGTCTCCTCATTCTAGACGCTCGGAATCTCTGATCCAGAAAGGAGATTTACTTGAGGTTGCACAGCTGTTTTGGACAGATTTAGGACGAGGGCTCGGTGTTCTTTCCCCTGTATCCTTTACTTCTTAACCTAAAATAACTAGGTCTAGACACCGGAGCCTTCCAGTTTCAGGTGGGAAATCACCCTTGTATAGCCACTCCTGTGTTCTTTCACCATATGATACTGAAGTCGCTGGGTGTAGTAATCCAGAACACCAATTCCAGATTTGCTTTTACTTTCTCTTGTTTCACTTATCCATTCCTCCCACACACGCCTCAGCAGGACTGTTTGACTAATCCCTCCCCGCCTTATCATTTGTATTAGGCATCTTTCTCATTTAATACCTATAGGTCCCTTGTTGATAGTGTTTTAGTGCATTTTTAAGTCAAAACATTGTAACAAATTAAAAGATGCCTTACTAGGACAATGACTCTCAATTCAATTACCTGAAGTTGAATCACCTGTAAAGCTTTAAAAATGCTGATGCCGAGGCACTACTTTGAGATTCTGATTCAATTCGCCGGCGATGCCGAGAAACAGTGAACCATGGGTTCTCAAATGAAGCTTCTGAAAGCCTGGTGTTAGACCTAAGTTCACTACTATCTGTGAATCTACTACTCAGACCCAGGCTGACTTGGACCTAGAAGGGAAGCTTTTTATAGTTTGTTTCTCTGCCTAGGCATGATGGTGAGACTACTCCAGACCTGAAAGTTATTTTTTCTT